AATACAGTCTAACATAAACATTAGACTCCCATGTATATAGGCGTACACATATTAAATATTAAATTTTTGGCGTTCATATTTATTACATGTATGTAAATTATATTTTTGTCGATATATTATCTTCACACACATATATTAGGAAATGTTTTGGGTTTTTTTACACTGTTCGTTCCAGCATCAAAGCCATTATTAATGTTTAATTGGACATGTAAACAGTTGAACACAAGTAAATGCATCTGGTAACTGCATTTAGCGAATCTTTGTAAACAGGATATTAGCTCGTATGCAGAACGACCGTCGTTGACAGTCAAAGTCCATATTGTCAATTAAATCCGTAGTCAATATGTGACCGAGGTAAGTTAAGCGCTCAACAAAGCTGATATTATGATCATATATAGTAATAGAAGGTAATGTGAAAGTGCATACATTTAGTTTTGGTAAGATTATATTCAATATAATGATAAATCGCATAGATTTCCTGAACATGTTTTCTCATATAATATCTTAGTCATATCTGCTAAACTAAGGTTAACGTTATTGTTTAATGTTTGTCCAACTAGACACCCGCACATAGTATTGTTCGAAAAATTCAAAATATTACAAAAGCATAAAAGGTAGATTTTTCTTATTGTTCCTTTTGTTCAACATATAATGCGTGCGTGGTCTATTGTGTGGCTGTATTTAGTGTTTTCGTTACTACTGATGAAGTGTCATATACCAACAATTGCAGATTTTTCAACATAGTGTCGATACTCCCATTGAAGCAAATTTACTTAATTTACGTTTTTCGCATATAGCAATTGCTAATTGACTTGGTTAAAAGCAAATGGTATGCAAATAAAAAATCATTTAATTTCACATTCAGATATATTAATATATACTTAAAATTTATGCAGCTGCAATTAAAATTGGATAATTTACAAAATCTGCTTCATACTTGAATTTAATTCTGAGGGCATTAGACAAAGATTAAACTCCATTATATATTGGGTATATATTTCTGAGAACATTCGCTATGCCTATGTCTGTAGTACATATGAAAATATTTTATAAATACGTCTCCTTACAAAATGATCAAACCAATACGTCAGTGGTTTAACATGATAAAACTGTTAAAACACAGAGGATTTCAAATGGCATTAATGACGCTAGTTTTATTAAGACCCAAAGTTTTATACTGAAATCATCTCATGTAATTTTGACTCAGAAATATATTTAACTGGTGCAACTTATGAAGCAGGGTGTTCCAGACATCACGTCTTGGTATACTTTGGACTCTATGTATTATTCATTATCTTCTGATGTACTTTAGTCGTGTTTTATGAACTTGTATATTTTCTATATGACCTCAGTTTAATGATCTATGTTTGGGTATGTTATTTCAACATTTATTTATTTCCTGAAATGCTCAGTCCCACAGATAAAAAGAGTGTTAAAACCACATCCTTGAATATGCGCCATTCCTCACAAAAATCAATTCCAATCAAAGACAATGTGTTTCATTAAGATGAAATGTATAAAACTGATTTTATCAAATTTCTTTAAGACTGTCGAACATAGATTGTAAAAGTATAGTTATAGTATTACTCATAGAATCCGGTATGATAGTTTAGTATAAATGTCACATTATGCCGATACATATTGGAACTTTGTTTAGAGGAGCCATTATATGTTGTATTCGCCTTGTGTAATACATATCATGTGACACGTGCTCATACATATAATTCATACATATCTGCAATTAAAACTGACTGAGTAATGTGATAACGTAATTAATTGTGACAGGTTAATGGCCCATTGAGCTTTTTAGTTGATTTGGCTAGTGTTGGTTAGATGGTAGAATGTTTAGAATAAGTTCATTCGCTCAATATTTGTAAACATAATCTACGAAACTACTCATATGATGCTGGACATGGCAAATACAAAAACGGCAATACAGCAAAAAACAATCAAATTTGTCAATTCTGGAATAATTATTTTATTCTGAATAGAAAAATCATAGCACATTTGTCATGAACATCATTGGATCAATGTTTATCAAGTGATAATAACATGTATGTCAATTAATTAGTTTGAATATATACTGTTGACCTCATTTACAATCACTCTAACTCCGTTTTTGTTTCTATACTTAATAATAAGATTTCATATACTAGTAATTTAAACTACGGAAACGAAATCGTTTTGGATACTGAGACATGTGTAAATAATTACCAACATTTTCAAGAAAAGGTTTATAAGAAATTTCGAGAAGGATCAGTGTCCAGTACTTCCCAATCCCTGGTAAGTTGCTGGAGTAGGTCAATAAATGCAATAAACGACTGCAATTGAAATGATCGGTAAAATACACACTCGCTAATACTGTTAGGTTGGGAGATGCGGTTAAGGGGACACTGGATTATTTATGATCAATTATATCATATAATTCTGTTAGTATGTAATTTCTTGGTGCTAAAGTTAAGTGTATTTTTTCTGAAATCGTTGACACATTGGTTGATTCATTTCATTCTCTCAACGGCAATAACCTTGTATGGACAGACTCTTATAGTCTGCCCAACGCAATGCGTCTTCAAGCATGGCTTCTCGCCGTCGGTTGGTACCTTGAATGTGTAGTGTTGGAACACACTCGCGAAAAGGAGAAACAGCTCATTCTTAGCCAATGCTTCTCCCATACACACTCTGCGTCCAGCTGAAAAGGGCATGAAACTGTCTGGATGAGGCAATAATCCTCCATCTGCATCTAAGAATCGTTCTGAAAATAAATTGCATATATAATATGCATTAATGTTTGTGTTGTTGACGTTAGGCTCAGCAGAGCTGAAAAATATTAGGTTTTTATACGATCATAATCTAAAAAAGCAGTGTTGTGATACCATAACAGTAATAAGGTAAGCTCAGCTTCCTCCCCTAAAAATCTTTCGGAATTGTATAATCAACAAACTTCTTATCTACTGCACTATTTATCAACAAAGATATAGTTACATGACAAAAACAGACTCAACTTACCCTCGAATTCGAATCGTCCAGACTAATGACAGGGTTAAAAACTACATTAAGTTCTCACGTCCATAAAATATATGCAAATGAGAGAGAATCAAGAGACTTGTGCCATTTACATCAGTGGTATACTGCAATTATACCAATGATAGCAGAAAGAGGTATAGGTAAACTGTTTAATTTGAGGTGATTTGATATATACCTGGACGAAACTCTTCTGGTTTTTCCCAATGTTTCTCATTCATATGGACATTCCACACGTTACACCAAATCCATGTATCCTTCGGTATTGCGTACCCACCTATATTATATTAAAAATGACACAATCCTTGTTAGTAGTTTTTTTTTTCAAATCGATCCAATAAAAGCTGCACACAATACATTCTAAAGAGTAAAGTAGATTATGAAAAGAAACACTTTCATGCAATTGCTAATAAAATTCTGAATTGAATTAGTGTGATTAGTATGACGGTAGATTACATCAGTAATGTACTATCATCGCATGACGGATGATACAATGTATTCGTGTCTGTAATAACCATTAAGACTAGGAGTCGTATGACATGATACAAACTTGAACCAATTTACGTGTGTAATTACTTTCATTACTCTGTACATAACATATGTTATGTATTTTTAGGATTTGTAGGATGTGTGTGATCAGCAGTTATTCTACGCATTCAGTATATTCTCGTATTATGTTTCTTGAATCGACTTTACATCGAAGAATATTTTATTGCTTGGGTGTGGGTTTAATAAAATGCACACACGCGACGCTACGACCACCGGCCTTCAATATATATTTGTGTGATACTACATTTAAATATAATCAATATTCCTGTAGTAAACATCTAATTATTCGTTTAATGAAATAGGACGTTTTTTAATACACATATACAACAATAATCACTGCACATGCGCATTGTTGGTTTTCATTTTTAACTATACATTATGCAACAATATCAATATTATTATTTTCCGTTAAATCCAACTCCAGGTTGGTTCTTACGTCCCGTCTAACAACAATATTACATATTTTCGTTCATATTGCATCTTAAATCACAATATAATTGGTGCTTCTCTGAATGTGTTCTCAATTATTATGTTATTTTACTCAGCATACTTCTACTGTAAGTAAATACCATACACTAATCTAGTTGGGTGACAAATAACCTCCTGTCACACATTTCACCGCAGAATAGAAATATACGCGCCTTACCACGACGTAATCATATACATGTATATCGGTACAATGGAGTGATATCTGCACTAACAAATGTCTGTTAAAATGTGTGAATATATAACTTGGGTGTCAACCTGTAACCTTCAGCTCAATCGAGAAACTAATGTTGTAATTTACTAACTAATTTGTAGGCCGTATTATCCGAAATATACATACTAAGCATGGCTTGTTCCCTCGATTATGAATTGTAAAAGCTAAACAACACGTACCTACAGACGTATCCACAGTAGTAGTATGAGGTAAGGCAAAGGGGACAATTGTTCTTACTCGCATGAGCTCGTGTATAACGGCTTCACAGTACGGTAGTTTTCCTTTATCAGATAACAGTGGTAGACGACCATCACCAATGACGTCATCGATTTCTCTCTGTACCTTGGACTGCACGTCAGGGTAATACGTTAAGTAAGCAACAGCCCAATCTAACGTGTTGATCGTGGTGTCTAGTCCCGCTAGAAAAAATACATATTGATCAAGGTATTAGTACGCTGTGTTGTAAGTTACGTATGTATCTTGACATCACTAAACCAAACCTTTTTAATACACAACATTGTAAAGCTTATAGTATCGCTGGCATTGCATGGTGAGTCATATTTGAATAAACACACCACTTAAAACTTTACTTAAAATTCATAACAAGCAGTTTCAATGAATGATCGCACATTTTACTTAGTGGCTTATATGTTATTCAGGGAAGCTATTGGTTATATGTTTTAACAACTGAGTCAGCTCCTAAATACTGGTACGCTGAATTTATTCAAATACACCAACCGAAAATGTCTCAAACCGTGTTAAATAATTGTAATGCCAGTAGGGTCACTTTCTAATTTATTCAGCCCTTTTATTAAACAAAATTAGATGTTGCGGTCGCATACACCGAACGACCTTGAGAACGTATAGTGTATGTGGGCTTGATGCACACTGTAGACTTGTATTCCATTTCACGACATCCATGGATTTAGAAAATTGTCACGCTAACCATACTTGTCAGGAATATGACTAAGACAACTATATAATTTCAAACATTGTAATTGTTTCTCATTTTCCTACGAGTACCAACTGTTTTGAAACTTCTTTATGTCTGTCGGACACATCATTATGAATCACATCTTTCATCTATAAGTACTAGTTCTGTTTTTTTGTAATAGCTTCAAAACGTAATAAAATTTTTGCTAGTGCTGTAATCTTTACATATAGCTGAGTTATTAGTGTCGACATTGTTATTAGACGTACCTCCGAATATATCAGACACGGTCTGACGTAGATTGACGTCTGTAAGTTGTTTGGCCTGGTCTTCTCCAGCCAACTCTGCTTTACGCTGAATTGATAAGAGGTCATCGATGAGACTTTTCACTTCTTTATTACCTGTGTAACAGTAAGCAAATCGTTTGTACTGGAATACGTTAGTGATATTATTTCTAGAAATTAGTGCAGATATACGCCAGTCAGCTCATCGACTGCTGAAAGATTATAAGAACCAAAATGTTAACTTAATGAAGTGGCCAAAAAGAAAATGCGGTAATTAATTACCGGTGACTTTGATGGTAAAGACTGCTGCGAATTTCTCAAAGCAAATGTGAATGGGAAATATAACGGAATACAAACGAACAATGTTAGCACACCATACACACCAACGTTACCTGCACTGAGTGCTTTCATGTGAGTTACCAACACCGTACTAACAATTCAATTCATGAAACCAGAAATACCTTCAAAAATGATAATCACCATATATTTTTTTACCTTTTTCAAACTTGTCTTTATGTTCATTAATCTGATGTTGAATTATGCTTAACCATTCTTTCAGATATTTCTTCACTGCAATGTGACCGGGAGTAGGTATATAACGGAACAGAGGGACATAGTCAGCTGCTAGTCCATTCCCAAATGATGTATTCAGATCTTTCAAGACTCCCATAAACTTTAGAAGTTCGGGGTCTTCATATTCATATCTGTCATCAAACATACGTAACACAGCTTTAGAGTACTAGATATTTTGTATTCAAAATTTCGACCTAGGGTCTGTTTAGAGGTCGTATATGAGGTCGTATATATTTACTATTGTATCACTTTGTTTTTGTGGGTTTACGAAAGTGAAGACAACGAATGGTGAGGGGAGCAACATAATCAAACAGAATATTAAACTACTGCACCACAATGGTGTGCTTATCTGTTAGTCACAGCGTCGACTTACTTCTTTCCAAAACACATGGAAGCAATGATATTTCCCACAAGCAGGTAAAGTAATGGTTTCGGAAGAAATGGTTTTCCATTGTTTTTATTGACAGCTCTCTGGAAACTAGGAAAAGCATCACATCGTATAAGAGTTTCCAACTTTTCGCCGCTGGCATAATTTCTAAATTGAAAAGGGAAATAAGCAATCAGTAATGTCATTAATATGTGACGCGGACATGCTATGAATGTTATCTATTGACGGTAGCTTCGATGGTGTGATGGGAAAACATATTCTGCTTTGGTCGACTTTTACCATTTGGCGTCGCAGGTTTGTGTTACCCAAGTCTATGGGAGAAACTATAGCTCTTCTATGTCGATAACAATCATAATGTCCTAATAACAAATTTAATGACACCAATGAAATGACTAAAATACCATGGCGAAGAATAAATAACGACCCAGTTATATGAATGCCGAGGCAGTCCATTGGAATTTTGAATTGCCTCAAAAATTAGTGATTATGTTACCAATGCATTCCTAAATCGTAAATATAGCGATGGTTTCAAAATATCAGTATTATGCACAGTGATCGTATATGTAACGCTCTTGAATACCCTATCACAAACTACGATAACTGTGTTAGTTGTAGCATTGTGAAATAGATACAAGACATATACAGGGTATGACCATACTATATCAGATTTAATGAAGTCATGTAACAATTTTCATTTATTTTCTTGTCCCGTTATGTCAATGGCGTTGCCTGTACTTGTTTGTATTTCCTTGGCAAATTCACTGTTCTGGTGGGCAGGGTTGTCTTTTGAGGCCAGACTTCAGCTTAGCAGTTCGTGCTGAACCGTGAATACTAAAAATGGAAATTACTACACACGTTTAATAAATCTGATATTGTAAGGTCGCTCTTGAGATATTCTTTATTTCTGTCAATCATGTTACATGTTAGTTAGTCAACGAAATATGCTTCAAGTATTTATGAAACGGTTCAGACGAGGATAAAACAATGCACTACTGGCCTTGTACCCTTAGAGTTAATGATAGGTAATCAACACACTGTTAATCGCGTAAGGAAGACCTATGCCAATACAAACAATGAAGGATACAAATTACATAAACTCACCTAATGGCTTGATGTCCTATTTTTCGCTGCAGTTTCCACTTCGTAGTGAAGTTACCAAATAAGATGTCTTGACTCTCTTCTGCCATCAGACTTGACACTGTAATTTTAAGGTAACTTTAAATTTAACTATGTAAAAACGTTCCAAGTTCGTGAAGGGGTTGATTTCGCCGCGTAGACATCGGGGAGTGCCGGGAAACAGGGAAACCTAAACAATAAATTGCGCGAACTAGAAATTACCCCCACAATTTGAAACTCGTCTATTACTGTGTTCAGATGGACACCCTGGCTCGAGCCGAAACTCAGGCCAAATAACGCATAAACATATCGAAAATTCATACAACGTATTTTTCCATCAGAGCCAAAACTCGGCCGAAATGTTACTGTTGTTACTGGACTGTTTAGCAGTGTTTATGAGTGGCGTGAATTTTTACTATCCATATTTTCTATCATTGGTAACCACTCTATGTTACGTCATTTGGCGTATACATGATGTATAACGAATATATAAAATTTGAATATAATCAGTCAAAGCATTTAAGAGATATGGCTCTAGAAGCCTAATCATTAAAACAAAATGGCCGCCAGTCAGCCAATTTGAATCTAATCTGAAAAATAAAATGACGTGCATCAGAAACCTGTAATGTCTAATGTGTGTTATAAGTTTGAACAAAATCCATCCATAAATGCAAGAAATACTTGATATTCGAGGATTTTTTTGTTTGCACAAAAATATCCACCATTAGGCCAATTTGAAAAGGATCGTCAAACCAATATATCCGTATATCTATGACATGATGTATAATGAATATTAAAAATTTGAACATAATCAGTCAAAACAAGTCAGGCATATGAGTCTGGAAACCCATTCATTAGAACAAAATGGCCGCCAGACAGCCATTTTGAATCTGATCTGAAAAATAAAATGATGTGCATCAGGGACCCGTAATGTTCAATGTATGTACCAAGTTTGAACGAAATCCATCCATAAATGCCAGAAATGCTTGATATTTGACGATTTTTAGCACACAAAATGACAACCATTCAGCCATTTTAAATAGGATCGTCAAACCAATATATCTGTCTATCTATGACATGATGTATAATGAATATTTAAAATTTGAACATAATCAGTCAAAACAAGTCGGAGATATGGGATGTTTATTAAAACAAAATGGCCGCCAGTCGGCCATTTTGAATGTTGTCTGAAAAACAAAATTATTTGCATCAAGGTCCCATAATGTCTAATGTATGTATCAAGTTTGAACAAAATCCATTTGTTAACCGCCGGGAAATGCTTGATTTTTAGCACAAAAATGGCCGCCATTCGGCCATCTTGCAATCAAACCGTAAAACAAAATAATGTGCATCAAGGTCGTATAATGTCCAACGTAAATACGAGGTTTGAACAAAATCCATCTGTAAACACCCGGCAAATGCGTGATTTTGATGATTTTTAGCACGAAAATGGCCGCCATTCGGTCATCTTGAATCAGATCGTGAAACAAATTGACGTGCATATGTATAATATCATGTATGATGCATGTGTGAAGTTGCATCGATTGATTGGTACAGGCATTTCTAAGTTACAGGTCCGGACGGACGGACGGACGCACGCACGGACACACGGAGGTCAAAACATAAGTCCCCGTTTACGGACTGTGTCCAAACGGGGACTAAAAAAGAACGAAGTTGAATTCGGGAAGCAATTTGAAAACGAGTATTCCGTAGGCGAGACAACCGACGACATTCTACACGATGTGCTGTAAAACCAATCAGAATCTGATCAATTCGCCACCGCACACAGAAGAGATTTTGTATTCTTCTAGTAACCGTGTTCAGACGGCTCTAACCTTGTTTTACAGTAGTTTATCGCAGAACAACGCTTTGTTGATTTAATGCGTTTAATTAAAGCCATTAAAGTGATTCAGTTTACTGACTTACATGAATAAAAATATGGTCTCCCAGCAAAATCATTCTGTTTCTTCACCAATGCTTCTTTAATAACATCTAAGGAGTTGAGTACAATCACAGGCTGACTGCCAATCTTCATTGTAAATACATCTCCATATTTCTTACCATAGTTTACAAGAGTTAGGTGGGGATCGTTCACCAAATCTAATAAATGAAACGATTGAACCATGTATATTATTATAATCGTGTCGTTATTGTACGTAACATAATATATAATAATGGTCATACGAAACCACTGACGGGACCACCAACAATCATTTTCGAGTTGGCTAATATATAGAGACACTGAGCAGAACCCAATAAGCTTATTATGCGATTAACATAGAATCTCGAATGCTAGTTATGTTTTACATTTCCCATTGCTTACATCGGACTCAACATCAATGTAGCGCGTGACTGAAATATAAACTGAACGTAACCGACCTCATAAAAATTGGCACAAACACTTTTACTGGCATATCAGGATTTTATATCCCACTTGATTTATAATAATAATAACTTTATTGTTTTCTAGGAAATAGAATTTTTCTATCAGATCAGTGCAATTAGTTGTGATAACTACTATTATAAATAGAAAGGTAGTTGTTAATATTATAAAGCAAGTGTTACATATCAAATGGTATTTTCATTTCATGATTCAAATGCGTTATGAATATAATTGACAATCTTTTTTATTATTACACATCTTTTGAAGTCATCAAGAAATTACATTTCTGGAGATCATCCCATGTTTCTTGTGGAAATTTAATTTACAATTTATTGGCGTATTAATTTATATCGAGAGCATATCGAAAGAAAGAGTCGTTTATCCTCTATTTCATTCTCTGTTTGCAAATTCTATTGTCAGTAAGTATTTTGGTTGCCTCCCTTTTTTGTTGCTTTTTCTGAGTCTTTGAATTCTTCAGAAGTCCTACGTTTTGTTTTTTCAGTTACATTTTCTCCAGAAATATATGTATTTTTGATTGAAAACTTTGCCAATGTGCTTTATATGTTTTGTTAACAAATCATTCTGTTGTTTTAGTGAAAAATTTATGTTCTTCATCATTTTTTTTGTATTGAGGAAAACCATTGAGTTCAAGGCATGCTTGTTTTGTGATATTATTGCCAGGTGATTTACTGTATTTATTAAATTAATCTGAATATCTACTAAGAGTGGGGATTCTTCTACTTAGGCTCTGCATGCAATGTTTGCCACAAATTTGTTCAATCCTAGTAGTTGTTTGTCCAAATTCAATTGTGTTTTTTTCTAATATTGTTTTGTCCCATTTTTTGTAACCTTGATTTTCATGAACCCAGATTTCAGACCCATACAATAATACTGGCTGAATACACCTTTTAAAAAGATGGATGAATTTGGACGGAACTTGGCTCAGTGATTTGGAACTAATTACGAGATAACCGTAGCTATTCGGACTATTAATTCTGACAGTTGGTATTCGTAGTTATTAATGTAGTGAACGATTAATCAAAAGATATGACGTATTCAGTACTTAGCGTGATTGGCTTTATGATTGAAGGTTACACCCTAGAGTCTTTTTTTCTGCTTTGTAATTGGTTAGAATTTTGAAAATGAATAAAGTTGTTTTGGTTGGTCTTGGCGAATACTCCACGATAAACGCAGTCTAAGTCCAGTCTTGGCGAGTCTTGGGTCAGCCTTGCGATAGTCTTGGGGATTTTCCCCAGGGCGCTGTGTCTTATAGAGTGCTCCACAGACCGACTAAGACGAGAGTTGAAACGTATTTCGTTGTGTGCGTCTTATTTGACTGTAAAGCTTAAGTGACTTTCCTGATCCCGTACCTCAAGGGGACGCGATAGAGAGACGAGGCGAGATTCCCCCCTGACACGTGTGGAGAACCCTAGAGAGAAGAATTTCCCCCTGATAGTTCTACAATTTGTTTCTGGCGGTAGAAACTGTTTCAATGCATACATTGCTCAGACTGCTTTATCTGCTAAATTGTGTTTGGCTTCAGTGTAGCAGCCATTTGACTTTATATTTATACAGGTAATATTTTGTTCATTATAATAGAACTTTTCTGTCTTTTTCAGTGTTCCTCATCTGAAAATAACAACTTGTGTTTTTGTTTTGACAATAAACGTCTAAACTATTTAGTGCATTTTGTAGACCGTTTTTTGTGTCAGAGATTAACACCAGATCATCTACATAGTCAAGGGAACTTATTTTACAGTTATTCAATGTAACTGGATCTAATTATTAATTTTCTAGTGAATTATGAGTATAAGCGGGAACAAATAATTGAATAATAATGCATAATTTTAATTTGATTTCACGTCAATGTCGCAAAGTAGGCAGGATGGGCTTGCACGGAATTTGGCGTAAGGCACTCATACAACCACTCCCCAACAAGCTGATTACAATATAACACATATACTGATACGATCTTGTCACATGAAATGTATTTGTAGTTATAAATGTGTTTGCATATGCATAGAAAGCCCAGGCGGTTTACACAGCCTAACACTCATTGGTTTCGATTGAGATGTGCTACAAATAAACTTATAAACTCTAGAATGACATACAGTATAAGACATCCCAAAAGAAGTAAATTTATCTTCTTTCAGACAAGCTCAATTTGACCACAGACCTTACAAAACAGGGACATTCTACTGTGTGTATCCCTTTCATGTAACCTTAGTTATAATCCTCTAACCAATTAACACCTTAGTGAAACTGACAATAAAGCTATGTCAACACCACTGTTACATCCTCTCCTGTTCCATAAGCTAAACATGGCTGCCAGGGAGTAGCTACACAAAATGAGCCAACTTTGTGGTTAGGATATAATCAGAAAAATTACATTTGATTAAAACTGAATAGCAAAGTTCATTCTATTGATATGAGTACAACTAAAAATTGCATTCCACTATGAAAACAGGAAGAGGAAACAAAAAATAGTCAGTTTTCTCTACAAGAAAACAAAACTGCCTTAACGTAAACAATGACCTGTCAAAATTTGTGTCATTATACCAAGTAGATTTTTCATCATATTTAGAACAGATATAGCATAGTGTACCCGTTATACACTGACAAATGTGAATATTGGCACAGCATAACTTGTCAAACATATAAAAAAGCGTCGAAAGGTAACAACTAAAACTGTTTCAGATGTATAGGTATATGTATTAATGGGATTATCTATACAAGAGATTATAATCCATTATGCACACAGGATTGTCCTTTGTCTCAGACAGAAGTTGCATATCCCTGTTTTCTAAGGTTTATGATTTGATAGGAGGGGGAATGACGTCAATAAGGTAAAACAACTACTGTCGGCTGGTGGTGCTTTAACTGAAACGATTTCGGTACGTATAAGCATGGAGGTAATAGTTCCATGGTATAAGTATTTTCATGACCTTTCAACTTATGACCTCAAAACATTATATTGAAACAATGGTGTCGATTACTTGGGATATACTCACCCATCATAGAGCCAATAAATGGATATCCCATTGGTCCAGGTGGGAACCCAGATGGTTTGCGTAAACTGAACAATCCATATGTTATGATAAACACCAACAACAGTAAAATAACATTAGTTGGAGTGTTAAGAATATCAAAGATATTATGCAGGATATAAGTTATCATAATTCTGATTTAAATCTGAAAACAAAAATAAATATTATATTATATAAAAAAAGCGGATGGATGTTACATCTGAGAATTCAGGAGAGAACAATTCTGAACAATTAAACTAATTTCAGCTTTGTAATCTTCAATGGTAGAGAAATAGTCAAGGTAACAGTAGAAGTATTCACGCTACATGAAATACGGGCTCAGATTTAAGCTAATTTTAGCATGGGCACCTGTAAGAACCTGTAAAAAATATAAAAACAATACTCAGTACAGTAACTAGGTATACTTGTTAGTTATTCCGTTATAAAACAATACTCAGTACAGTAACTAGGTATACTTGTTAGTTATTCCGTTATAAAACAATACTCAGTACAGTAACTAGGTATACTTGTTAGTTATTCCGTTATAAAACAATACTCAGTACAGTAACTAGGTATACTTGTTAGTTATTCCGTTATAAAACAATACTCAGTACAGTAACTAGGTATACTTGTTAGTTATTCCGTTATAAAACAATACTCAGTACAGTAACTAGGTATACTTGTTAGTTATTCCGTTATAAAACAATACTCAGTACAGTAACTAGGTATACTTGTTAGTTATTCCGTTATAAAACAATACTCAGTACAGTAACTAGGTATACTTGTTAGTTATTCCGTTATAAAACAATACTCAGTACAGTAACTAGTATACTTGTTAGTTATTCCGTTATAAAACAATACTCAGTACAGTAACTAGTATACTTGTTAGTTATTCCGTTATAAAACAATACTCAGTAC